GCCGAAGTGGGTGTGCGGGACGCATGCGGGCGGCAGCACTGGGGCCTTCGGCGGAGCTCCCTATGTGACCACGAAACCTGTGAGGTGTGTGCCGAAATGGGTGTGCGGGACGCATGCGGGCGGCAGCTCTGGGGCCTTCGGTGGAGCTCCGTACAGGGCCACGAAACGTGTGAGGAGTGTGCCGAAATGGGTGTGCGGGACGCATGCGGGCGGCAGCACTGGAGCCTTCGGTGGAGCTCCCGATGGGGCCACGAAACGTGAGAGGGGTGTGCCGAAATGGGTGTGCGGGGCGCATGCGGGCGGCAGCGCTGGGGCCTTCGGTGGAGCTCCCTATGGGGCCACGAAACGTGTGAAGGGTGTGCCGAAGTGGGTGTGCGGGAAGCATGCGGGCGGCAGCACTGGTGCCTTCGGTGGAGCTCCCTATGGGGCCACGAAACGTGTGAGGGGTGTGCCGACTTGGGTGTGCGGGACGCATGCGGGCGGCAGCACTGGGGCCTTCGGCGGAGCTCCCTATGGGGCCACGAAACGTGTGAGGGGTGTGCCGAAATGGAGGAGGGAGGAGGGAGGGGGCAGCGGGAAGGAAGGAAGGAAGGAAGGAAGGACCGCGGGGCGACGTCTCTTCAAAACGAGGACCCAGCACCACAGGATGGTTGGGAAAAAACGAAGAACAAACACACTGAGAAAAACAACAAACTGGGGACAACAGCAAGGAAACACACAAACTGAGGATAATGGCGATATGAAGAAAACCAAACCGAAGAGGAAACACCATGTTTTAAATAGAAGCACCTAGAATTCACGCCCTCCCTCTCTATTCCTCTATTTCTCTCTCACTCGCTCTCTCTCTCTCTCTCTCTTTCTTTCTCTCTCTCTCTCTCTCTCTTTTTCTCTCTCCTTCTCTCTGCAGCGTCGAAGCATCCAGGGCTTGGCGCATCAACGCCACTACGTCGCACGACGGGGGAAATGCGACCTCTCATCCTCTGAAACCTCAGATGCATCGTCCCTGCGGCTACGGCCGCGCCTCCAGCAATTGCACCTCCCGCTGTTGCGCCTGCAGAGGGCGCTCTCGCGGGTCACCATGCAGCCGAGATGAAAGAAAGACAGAACGAGAGAAAAGCTGCAAACAAAAGCGGGAAGAGGCGAGCATGAAGACACGCGAGGCGAGTGGCTGCCAGCGGCATTGATGGCACCCACCTTCCCTGCCTCGCCATCCGCGTGTCAACCTTTCGGTCCTGTGCCAGCTGGCGTCTCGGCAGACGAGTGAGACTTGACAACTTCATACTCCGAATGCAATGCCGCTCGTTCCTGGCCGGCCGCGCGGCTGCTCGCATCCTCGGTCGCAATAGCTGCCACTGAAGCCGAACTACTATTATGCCATGGCGTGGGCCCACGCAATAGATCTTGTCACCCCGATTTGCAAATCATCTACCAACCGTAGGGCACCAATCAAAGGGCATCAGCCATACGGCACCAGCATGCACCAGCCATATGATACTAGCTAGTGCACGCCAACCGAAAGGCGCCAACCACAAGGCACCAACGCACACAACACCAGGCACAGAGCGGCCATACTGCATATCACCGACTGAGGACGGCCGCCGTCGACACACACACACAATCACACACACACGTACACACTCAAACAGACACACACACACAGACGCACACACACACACACACGTGCGCGCGCACACAAACACACACACACACACATACACACACGCACACACACACACGCATACGCATACGCACACACGCGCACACTCCCACACACGCGCACACGCACACACACACACACCCACACACACATACATACACGCGCACATACACACACTCACATACACACGCACGTTTCCTACTGCAGCCACGTGCGTAGCAACGTTGCGGTCACAATAAGTGCGGGACCTGTGGGTGCACCGGGAACATGATGTAATGACGGGGCCAAGAGAGGCGGCGATCAAAGCGGTGAGAGTGGACGACGAGGACGCGGAAACGGGCGAGAGAGAAACCGACAAACACAACACAACACAACGCAACGCAACACAACAAACCACATCACAACAAAACAAAACACAACACAACACAACGCAACGCAACACAACATAACACTACACAACTCAACACACCACACCACAACACAACACACCATACCACACCACACCACAACACACCACACCACACCACAACACACACAGAAAACCGAACGGGAACGGATACGGAACACCCCGACCAGGAACGCGGCCTACCGCGGCACACGAAGGGCCAGCTCCTCAGAGCGCAAGCAGGAGCCTTGTGCAAGCTCTGTTCGGGGAATCTGTGTATTCCCCAAACATCATTGCACGAATGGGTTCTTATTTTTTTTCAGGAGATGGGCCTGTGTGACGGTCAGGCGGCTATGTTGTCGCCTTCGCCGCCCTGTCGCCGCCTCGTCGCCGCCCGTCGTCTGGGCCTGTGTGGCGGACTGGCGGCTATGATGTCGCCGTCGCCACCCTGTCGCCGCCTCGTCGCCGCAACATAACTTGCGCCAGATATATTGGACGCCATATACTGCACAACCGATCTTGCACCACACAGACTGCTCCACATAGACGGTGCTACCTTTTTTTCGCATTACATGGTGTGCCCCACATTTATTGCACTGAATAAGTTGCACAACGTCGATAGCACAACATACGTTGCACCACATAGATCGCGCCACATGAGTTACTCCATGCAAACTGCCCAACATAATTTGCACCACATAGATTGCACACCATAGGTTGCACCAAATAAGTTTCAAAACATATTAGCCTGACGAGGGACCCAACCATATGCAGGTGCGAGTACCGCAATAGTGATTCATTTTTTCGGTGGCGATCCCTATGAGGCAACGAACCGTGCTAGGGGCGTGCCGACATGAGTGGCGTGGTACACAAAGTGAACGAAAACGATTGATCTGAGTACGTAGGGAGACTGAGCGCGGGTGAATCTGCGCGCGTGCGTCTGACTGTGAATGATCTGCGTGCGAGCGAGTCTACGTGCATGAATGCGAATATGACAAAGCGTGGTGCAAATGTGTATGAATGCCAATAGTTTGACAACGACTGCCTCTGAATACTCGTGACGCTGGGCGTGGCCGCCGCAAGGAGCTTCCCCGGGACTCCCCGACGGCATCGCCCGCGCGCCGCGACGCCAATGTCGGCGCGCCCCCCCGCGAGGATCGCGCCCGCTTCCTCCCCTTCCTTTACTCCCTCTTTGCCCGCGCACTCAAAAGTCCAAGGCTGCGGGAGCAGCGCAGCGCGGAGCCCCCGCGACGCGCGCAGGTCACCCCGGAGGGGTCCCAGCGACGCGCGCGGGTCGTCCACTGCGCGGAGCGAAGAGAGCTAGCTGGCTGGCTGATAGCGGGCAAGGCTCTTGCCGCTGGGCAGAGCGACGACGGGCGAGCGAGGCGCTGGGCGGAACGCAGCACGGAGCCCCCGCGACGCGCGCAGGTCGCCCCGGAGGAGTCCCAGCGACGCGCGCGGGTCGCCCGCTGCGCGGAGCAAAGAGAGCTAGCTGGCTGGCTGGGACCTGCGGTGGGGCTCCATATGGGGCCACGTAACGCTGTACTGGGCAAAGGAGACGCATGTGGACTGCGCCACGGGGACCTTCGGTGGAGCTCCCTATGGGGCCACGAAACGTGTGAGATGTGTGCCGGAATGGGTGTGCGGGACGCATGCGGGCACACCCACTGAGACCTTCGGTGGAGCTCCTATGGGGCCACGAAACGTGTGAGGGGTGGAGACATGTGTGGCGGGACGCATGCGGGCACACCCACTGGGACCTTCGGTGGAGCTCCCTATGGGGCCACGAAACGTGTGAGGGGTGTGCCGAAATGGGTGTGCGGGACGCATGCGGGCACACCCACTGGGACCTTCGGTGGAGCTCCCTATGGGGCCACGAAACGTGTGAGGGTGTGCCGAAATGGGTGTGCTGACGCATGCGGGCACACCCACTGGGGCCTTCGGTGGAGCTCCCTATGGAGCCGCGAAACGTGTGAGGGGTGGGCCGAAATGGGTGTGGGTGACGCATGCGGGCGCGGGCACTGGGGCCTTCGGTGGAGCTCCCTATGGTGCCACGAAACGTGTGAGGGGTGTGCCGAACATGGGTGTGCGGGACGCAATGCGGGCGGGGCACCCCCCCTGGACCTTCGTGGAGTTCCCTATGGTGCCACGAATATGGTAAGGTGTCCAAAGATGGTGTGCGAGACGCATGCGGCACCCCACTGGAGCCTTCGGTGGAGCTCCCCATGGGGCCACGAAACGTGTGAGGGGTGCCGAAATGACTGCGGTGCCGCCATGCGAACGCAGCCATTCGGGCCTTCGGTGGAGATCCCTATGGGGCCACGAAACGTGTGAGGGGTGTGCCGAAATGGTGTTGGGGAGTGCCGAAATGGGTGGTGGGGAAGCATGCGAACCCTGCCACTGGGGCCTTCGGTGGAGCTCCCTATGGGGCCACGAAACGTGTGAGGGGTGTGCCGAAATGGGTGTGCGGGACGCATGCGGGCACACCCACTGGGACCTTCGGTGGAGCCCCCTATGGGGCCACGAAACGTATGATGGGGTGTGCCGAAATGGGTGTGCGGGACGCATGCGGGCACACCCACTGGGACCTTCGGTGGAGCTCCCTATGGGGCCACGAAGCGTGTGAGGGGTGTGCCGAAATGAGTGTGCGGGACGCATGCGTGCACACGCACTGGGACCTTCGGTGGAGCTCCCTATGGGGTCACGAAACGTGTGAGGGGTGTGCCGACATGGGTGGTGATAATGATGATGACGACAGATGATGATGACGATGACGATGATGGGGATGATGACGATGATTATGAAGATGGGAGGAGGGAGGGGGCAGCGGGAAGGAAGGAAGGAACGCGGGGCGACGTCTCTTCAAAACGAGGACCCAACACCACAGGATGGTTGGGAATTAACTATGTTGCACAACAAATATTGCACCAGGCATATCGCACCACATAGGTGGCTCCACATGCATTACACAGCGAATATTGCACAGCAAATGTTGCCCCACCTAGGTCGTCCCACACCCCTTGCGCGGCTTAAGTGGCAGCGCGTACATTGCACCACATCGAATGCCCCACGTAGCGTAGATTCTCCTTGTAAAAATACTAGCATCTACCCCCCCCCGGAATGAACGGCACCCTTTTCCGTATTGCAATTTACATATGCGTTTGCCCCATTGTCCATACTGAATATGCACTCGTACCATCCCAGGCAGGCCGGTATCCCCCCCCCCCTCGTCCTTTGTAACACATACTATGCGCGCGCACTCGTTTATCACATATCACCAGCTTTCAATAATCCCGTGAAAAGGACGGACGACATGCACACGCGCGCGTCGTGGCGCGCATGCCGAAATTCTTCGAGCAACCATAGGTTACGTGAGGATTAAAAAAAAACCGAGTGTCCCGAAAACATGTGTAAGGCACATGGTTTCGCAACTCGATCTTCTCCCCCCCTCAGAAAAAGTGCTCGGGCGATTGCGAAGTTTCCCATCAAAAACAAACGAAAACCATTTTTTCAAGTACTTACTGCGTGGAGCTCCCCATGTGTGCATCCTGTTTTAAAAGAAGTTATGATATTGTATTTGGGATATTGAAATGAACGCTCAGCCATCTGAGCCACATGTGGATATCAAATCGTAGGGTAGTGCTATGGTGAACATATGTCTATGATAGTTGTGTTATAAGAGCGCGTCTACGTGAGCGACGAGCACGCGTGTGAACCACACGAAGGAGAGTGAACCTTTTCAGGTTCCCTGCCCCTGCCTGGAGAATGAACCTTTTTCAAGTTCCTTCTCCAGTTCGACCACAAGCGGGAAAGTGAACCTTTTCAAGTTCCCTTCCCCGCAGCTAGAGAGTGAACCTTTTTTTTTCAAATTCCCCCCCCAACCCAAAACGCACGCGGGATACTGAACCTTCTCAAGTTCCCTCTTCCGCTGGCGACGACAAGATTGGAAAGCACCACGGAGAGAGAAAACAACATCCCACGGTGACACACGCCCTGCGCCAACAACACCTGGTCACTCCTCCTTGACCGCCGTACGCAACAGGGCGAGCCACTCGGGACACAACGCAAAAGCAGAAACCAAGCAAACCGCTTAAGACATCCCCACAAAACGGCCGCGAACGCAGCCGTGAAGCACCATTGGCGGCTCCCCTTCGGTAGCTGAAACCAACGCCCCGCCTGAGACATCCTCACAATCGGCTATCCAAACGAAGGATGCCGAAACTGAAAACAAACCAACCACTTGAAACATCCCCGCAAAACGGCCGCGAACGGGACCGTGCAATACCCCTCGGCGGTTCCCGCTATGGGGTGCTGAAACCAGCGCGCCGCCTGAAACATCCTCACAACCTGTTTTCCAAGCGAAGGATGGTGGGACAGAGAACAAGCAAACCGCTTGAATCATCCCCACAAAACGGCTGCGAACGGGACCGTGCAATACCCTTCGACGGCTCCCATTAGGTATTTGGAACCAGCACCCCGCCTGAGACATCCTCACAATCTGCTCTCCAAACGAAGGGTGTTGAAACAACTAACAAGCAAACCGCTTGAGACATCCCCGCAACACGGCCGCGAACGGGACCGTGCAATACCCCTCGGCGGCTCCCTTGTATGGGGTGCTGAAACCAGCGCCCCGCCTGAGACATCTTAACACTCTGCTTTCCAACCGAAAGGTATTTGGGACAGAAAACAAGCAACCCACTTGAAACATCCCCACGAAACGGCCGTGAACGGGACCGTGTCGTACCTCTTGGCGCCGCGCCTGAAACATCGTCACAATCTGCTATGAGCAAGTCTAAGTAAGTCTAAGTATGAGGAGGAGGAGGAGGGAGGATGAGGATGAGGATGGTGGTGAGGAGGAGGAGGAGAAGAAGAAGACAGAGTAGGAGGCGCCCAGGTAACAACAAGAACCCCATCTTAGGATATTGGGGACATGTTGTCATACCTTGCTACCAAGCGGGCCTCTCGCGCGCGCGTCGGAATCGCTCGGGCGCCCTTGCGCGCGTGCTGTCGCAACAATCCGCTGCACCATATATGACGAGGTGCACATGCGCGTGTCGTCGCGCGCGCGCTGGATTCATTCGAAAACCCCAGGTGTCGTAGTGATTTCAAAATCGACTGTCCCGAAAGCGTCTAGAATCTCATGGTTTTGCAACACCCATGTTAAAATATGCCTGCGCTCGCGCCCCTGCGAATTCGCAAGGGAACCAAGTGTGGTCAAACAGTTGCACTACATTTGGCCAAGCGCGCCCCCCCCCCCCCCCACACACACACACACACACCCCACACCCCCGCGCCGCAAGCCGAAATCATTCGAACGCCCTTGCGCACGTGATGGGGGGGGGCACGATCCGTCTGAAATGATATCATGCGGGCCATTTTCGCGCGTCGGCCGCCGAACTCCCTCTAAAACCTTCATCACCGACGCGGGGGCGCCGTCATCGTCGTCGGCGGGATCAGCATCGGCGGTGTCGCTGGCCTTGCCGCCGTCGTTGTCATCATCGTCACCAGCATCGCTGCCATCATCATCGTTATCACCACCAGCATCACCATTATCACCAGCATCGCGTCTACCGCTGTCGACGCTGCCATGATACCGCGCCCGCCCAAATCGCCGACTCGCACTGAAGTGTCCGCTGTGATGTGCCCAGCGGTCAGCGCCACCGCGGCCGCGTCGGTAGCGCCAAACTACCTGGCCGCTGCGCGTGCGAGCATGCGCGGGCCAGCGCGGCCGCAGAGATGCACCAGTCAACTCCAAACACTCATCGAAATCGCCGCCACATGGGCTTTGCTAACTAAGTTGCGGGTGGGTGGGTGAGATGATTGCGCGGGCAATGGAGTGGACGAGTCACTGCGAATATAAACTGCTTGCACATCATAGAATGCACCGCACATATTGCACCGCGTAGATTGACCCACGTAAGTTGCACAACCTATAGTGCACAACGTAGATCGCACAATAGAAATTGCGTAACATAGATGGTACCCCATAGGCTGCATAACGTGTATGCAGCACCTGGTATACTGCACCGAAAGATTGCACCAGATAGGCTGTCCCACCTATATTGCACAATACATACTGCACCACAGAGATTACACATCATATATTGCACAACATAGACTGTACAGTCTGTAATGCCAGAAGGACACTGGACACTGCTTGGGGTCCACGCTGGCTAACACTATCAGCAGCTGCGGTAGACACACACACACGATGAGACAGCTTGCTCTAAGAAACATGGGGGCACGTCTGTCGTCGAGATTTTGACTTCCTGATTTGCTTCAGGGCTTCTGTGGACCCCCAGGGCAATTTGGGGATACAAAACTTGTGCGGGGCACATGTTGCAGGCTGGTTGCATAAGTTGATGCACCTGCTGTATGAGATTATTCGGGTCAGCTAGCTCCAGGTGCAATACCTGGTCCTCCTCCGCCGCTCCAGCCTCCTTCTACCTTCCCCGCCCTCCCCCTTACGCCCAGGCTAAAGATGAGCTGGATAGCAGCGAGCCGACTGTGAAGAGCCAGCCGGACGTGTTCTCTATCTGGGAGACATGCTGCGCTAGGCTGTGACGTCCTGTGGCGTGCTAGCATATCGGTAGGAGGAAGGTGGGAGGGTACGTAGTGCAAGGATGAGGGGGAGAAGGTCCAGTGCGGTTCTGGACCCAGGTTTGCTTGCTTATTTGCATGCCCAACTGTGCCGAGGCACGCTGGCGGCACCAAGCAAAGCTATGCAACGCAATTCTATTCCAATCTATTCCGATGAGCGAGAAGCACGGACAATCGAGAAACGTGCGCAGTACTAGATACGGCAATAATGCGTCATACACCACGGATAGCTCAGGCACAACACGACAGCCGAACCGTTTGCTTACACATCACATCGTTGTTGCACCCTGTAGATGGGCTCGATCGTCAGAAACTAGGTGGGATATGGTGGTGGTGGTAGTGGTGGTGGTGGAGGGAGCCCATCGTCCCACGATAATTCGGAGGGAGGGGGGGGGACACCATCGTGGGAGATGGAACGCCAGTCTCAGACGCTTGCTTACCCGACAGCGTCAAAAGCGAACACCAAGTGAACACCCTCGGTATTCGGCCTGGCTACAACTGCCCCGCCTGAGGCGCACAAGAGGCACGCCGAACTACCGCAAATCGCGGCGCGCACTGGCTAATAACAACAACAGCGTGTACCCCAACGTTCAGGGGCCCTCCCTACCGAAGAACCAGCCCGTGCCAAGCAAGCTGCGTGATGAAGAGAGGAATGGAAGGTTTGTATTCGGCTTTGACTCGGCATAGCTTGCTTACTTAGAAAGGCGGTTTCCGGGCTGGCAACATGTTAGGCGGGGATTTATCCCATGTCCACCGCTTGGGAACCGACGTCCTGGTGCCCCAGCGGGCGGTAGATATGGATACGTTTTGGCCCCCGGGGGCCCGAATATGTCCACATCCACCGCCTGCCGACCCCGAAAATTGACCCTCCAGGCGGTGGTCATGGACCAAGTCCTGCCTGGCACAACACGCAGCGCTGCCTGCAGCTGACTCAGCAGCTGGTTGTTCGCGCTGCCCACCTCCGCCAAGCGCGTCAACAGCGCCTGGCAGGCGGCCGGGCCGTCTGAGGCGCGTGCGGCGGGGACGCCCACAGACCGACACCGCTGGAAGCCTGCCCGCGGACGCGGCCTGGCGGGCTCTGCCGCGCGGCCCTGCCGCGCATCCGGTCGAGGGAAACGATTAGTGGACACTCCCCCGCTCACCCAAACTCATAGTTGGCACGCGCGGGGAAGACTGCGGTCGAAGTGCAACCAATCTAACCCACCGCTCACGCTGATCATGGGGGGGGGGCATGAGTGTTCGCTACTTTCTTCCGAGGCCTGTCTGTCTGGGCTCTCTGGACCTATGCGGTGGGCTCCACAAACACCACGCAAGACGAAACCCGGATCGGGATAACATCGGCCAGGACAAATCGGGGA